GTTCACTCCCTAAATATCCACAACAGGCTTGACTATGCCTGGAACTGCAGCCAAGTCGCTCATGTGGGTGACAGGAGCCCAGGCACTTGAACCATCCTCTGCTACTTTCCCAGGTGCATTACCAGGGAGCTGGCTTGGAAGTGAAGCTGCTAAGAAGGCCGGCACTGTGGTGAAGTGGGCTTAGCCACTGTCTGCAGTACCAGCATCCCATATGTGTACTGATTTATGTCCCAGCTGCTCCACTTCAATTCAGCTCTCTGCTAATGCACCTGGGAAAACAGTGGAGCATGGCCCAAGTGAATGGGCATCTGCTTCCACATCGGAGACCTGGAAGAAGCTCCTGGCTCCTGGCTTCAGCCTGCACCAGCAGTGGCTGTTGGCAGCCATCTAGGGAGTGGACCAGCATGTAGAAGATTCTCTCTCTCTCTCACTCTCTCACTCTCACTCTCACTCTCACTCTCACTCTCACTCTCTCTCAACTCTTTCAAGATAATCAATTTTAAAAAGTAGGGCAGCTGAGACTTGAATCAGTGCTCTGATATAGGGTGCTGGCATCGTAAGCAGTGACTTAACCCACTGTGCTACAACATAGGACCCTTTGATATTTGAAATATTTTCATTGGGAATACAAGTCTAGTTTTAGAGATACTTTTTTCTTAGTAAATTAAGTAGGTTAATTTATTGCTTTCTATTTTGTATAGTTTCTGAAAAGTAAGGCTTTTTTTTAATCTTTCATATATATAGGTCTTTCTCTGGCTGCTTTTTAAGATTATCTCAGATTTTCAAGTTTTGTTTTTTTTGTTTTTTTTTTAAAGGCAGAGAGACAGAGAGATCTTCCTTCCGTCTATTGTTTTACTTAACCCAAATGCATGCTGCAACCATTTTTGGGCCAGGTGAAACCAGGAGCCTGGAGCTCAATACAGGTCTCCCAACTTCGGTGACAAGGACCCAAGTACTTGAACCATCACCTGCTACCTATAGGGTATGCATATACTAGAATCAAAAGCAGAACCAGGACTTGAGCCCAGGTATTCTGATGTATAGGCATCTTAAATGGAATTTAACCACTGCACTTAACCTTCTGCCCTGCACGTGCACGCTACACACACACACACACCCCGCTGCAGACATTTCCTTGAAATGCATGAAATGAGTCAGTTTTTGTTTTTTGGTTTTTGGTTTTTTGTTTTTGACAGGCAGAGTGGATAGTGAGAGAGAGAGACGGAGAGAAAGGTCTTCCTTTTGCTGTTAGTTCACCTTCCAGTGGCCACCACGGCTGGCGCGCTGCGGCCGGTGCACCGCGCTGATCCGAAGGCTGGAGCCAGGTGCTTCTCCTGGTCTCCCATGGGGTGCAGGGCCCAAGCACTTGGGCCATCCTCCTCTGCCTTCCCGGGCCACAACAGAGAGCTGGCCTGGAAGAGGAGCAACCAGGACAGAATCCGGCGCCCTGACTGGGACTAGAACCCAGTCTGCCGCTGCTGCTAGGTAGAGGATTAGCCTATTGAGCCGCTGCGCTGGCGAGTCAGTATTTTTTTTATAAGATTTTAGCTTTTGAGCAAAAATCAGAATTTCTCAGAACTTTTACTAGCATCGAGTCCTCAATAACTTCTGCATAGGTTTGTAATAGGAAAAATTTGGGAGGAAAGATCAGTAGAAAAATGGATAAATTATGTGTTCACACAGTAAAATAAACACGGGAAAAAGGAATGAGCTACAGCTACATGTAGAAGTGGGTGAATCTTGGAAACCTCAGAATAAATGCAGTCAAATACAATATGTAGAAATATATATGTGTGTGATTAATAGTTGTAAAAGCAAAGGTGACATCAGTTTAGCAGCTTTGTTTTGGTTTGAGTTCAGGTAGGGATTAGGAAGCCTGGGATAGGAGAAAAATCTACAACTGTATTAAGGTATGTCAGTGATACTTCAATTTTTAGATTCAATGATAGGTTTACAGATGTGTATTGTATAAGAATGCCACAAAAAGTTCATGGGAAATGGGTTTTTTGGCTCATGTGGGTTATTACTATTTCTAAAGATTTATTTTATTTGAAGAAAAATAATTATTTTATTGAAAGACAGTGTCATGGGGTAGAAGGAGATAGAGAGATCTTCCATCTGCTGATTCATTCCCCAGTGACTATAACAGCTGGGGCTGGGCCAGGCTGAAGCCAGGAGATTCTTCCAGGTCTCCCACGTGGGTGCAAGGGCCCAAGGACTTAGGCCATCTTCTAGGGCTTTTCCAGGCACATTAGCAGGGAGCTGGATTAGAAGCAGAGCAGCCCGGACTCAACCGATGCCCCTATGGGATTAGGCATTGTAGGCGGTGGCTTAACCTGTTAGGCTACGAAGTGGGCCTGCAAGAGTTATTAACCTGCCTCCTGGTATACTTGCATCTCCCATTAAAGTGCTGGTTCCAATCCTATCTACACTACTTCTGCTCCAGTTTCCTGCTATTGCATGCTGAGAGCTGGCAGACAATTGCTCACGTGCTTGGACCCTGCCACTTGGGTGGAAGACTTACCCATGGCTTTGGCCTGGCCCAGCTGTGGCTGTTGCAGGTGCTTGGAGAGTGAATCACAGATGGAAGAGTTCTGTTTCTCTGTTTCCCTCTCTCCCCATCACTCTTCCTTTCAAGTGGATGAAAATAAGTGAATATCTTTTAAAAGGTTTATGTAAAATGAAATTTAAAATAAGTTTATTTTGGTGTCAGAAAAACCTGAAATCCATATATTTTTCATAACATTTTCCATGAACATTTGAAAGACCTTTGAAATATTTTGCTTGGTAATTTGTATATGTTTCATCTTTTTGTTTTATCCTATTTATGTAGTAAATTGTAAAGTTTTAAAAATTTAAGATATTAATGGCATATGGATCATTAAAGAAAGATACATGATAGTCCACAGAATTGGTTATAGTAAGATATATTAAACCTGGGTAGGTTAAGTATATCTGAGTTTATTGGACAAGCCATGTAACTTCTCTGTCTTGTGCAACAGGGTTGATTTCAACTTAATAGCATTTACCATGTACCAACTATTGTTCTAAGAAATACTTCATATTTATTATCCTATTTAATCCTTCTACAGCTTGAGCATTCCCTAATCTGAAAATTCAAAACCTCAAATGCTCCAAAATCTGAAATTTTGAGCACCAACATGACAGAAGTAGAAAATTCCACACCTGACTTCATGTGATGGATCACAATCAAAATGCAGACACACTAAAAATACTATGTAAAATTACCTTCAGACTATGTGTGCAAGGTGTATATGAGACACAGTATATTTCATATTTAAATTTGGATCCCAACCCCAAGATAACTCATTATGTATGTACATATATGCTAAAATCTGACACACTGCTCTGTTCTCAAGCATTTCACATAAGAGGTGTTCACCCTGTAACAACTCTAACAAGTTAGAACTTTTAAGTCCTTTTGATGCTTAGGGGTTAGAGCAACTTGTTAAGGGTATCACAGCTAACAAGTATTAGGAACCAGGATAGGTGATGTTATGCCCGCAGTCCGTGGTCCCCCGAAAATCACACCACCAGAGACTGAAGTTGAAGCCAATAAGCAGGGTCGTTTTTATTACGAGTTCGAACCCGGGCCTCTCAGTGCCTCCAGGAGAGGAGGCCCCCCGAGAAGCCCCGAGCCCAATTCTTACAGAGCTTTTATTATCATGTCCAAGCAGGCTTTAGGGGAATGCTATAGATCAAGTTGACACTTCTGATAAGTCCCGAGACACCTGCCACCGACTCCAGGGTAGGGGCTGGTTGCTAGCTCAAGCTTTATACCTCCCTTTTACATTCCTGGACCTGGGTCAGGGTTGGGTCACATCTGGCCAGGTGGAGGGAAGGGGGAGTGTAATCAACTTAATGTAGTTACTGTATTACTTAGCTCAACATCTAACATAATACATATATAAAGTCAAAGACACTTAGCATTGCTTATTATTACTACTAGTTGCCTAATAAGCACTATTATAATGGATAATAAGGGCATAGTAAAAGCTGGTTGTGCAGGTGTCTTCTCAGTGAGTCTCACTCTAGCCTATACGTTTAACTACCATGCTTAAGCTAATTGCTGTAATAGCACTTATTTAACAAGCATATGTGATTAAATGAGACAGTGTGTGTTGGTATAGGTGCAGCACTAGAGGTGTCAGGTATAATTTAAAAAAAAAAAGATTATTTATTTGAAGTAGAGAGGATGATGTTCCATGTACTGGTTCACTTCCCAAATGTCCACAATAGCTGCAACTTGGCCAGGCTGAAGCCAGGAACCTAAAGTCCATCCTTCTCCTATGTGGGTGGCAGGGATCTGAGTACTGGAGCCATCATTTGCTGCCTCCTAGAATGCATTAACAGGGAACTGGATTGAAAGTGTCTTGATGGGTGGCACAGTGGGTTAAGGTTTCAACCTGCAGTGCTGGCATCCCATATAGGTGCCAGTTTAAGACCCAGCTGCTCCACTTCCTATCCAGCTCTCTGCTAATGTGCCTGGAAAAGCAGCAGAGGATGGCCCAAGTCCTTGGGCCCTTGCACCCAAATGGGACACATGGAAGAAGCTCCTAGCTCCTGGATTCAGATCAGCTCAGATCTAGCCATTGCAGCTGTTTGGGGAGTGAACCAGCAGGATGGAAGACCTCTCTCTGTCTCTACTTCTCTCTATAACTGCCTTTCAAATAAATAAATCTTAAAGAAAAAAAAAAAAAAAAGAAAAGAAAAGAAAGTGTCTTGAGAAGTGATACTGGGACTCAAGCCGTTACTGTTCTGTGGGCTGTGTGTGCCTCAAGTGGCAGTCTGGCCTGCTGCACTACAATGCCTGTCCCAGGTGTAGTTACTGAGATATTATGCTTCTTTAAGAAGCTGTGGTCCCCCTGGAGGAAGGTAGGGAGAGGGTGAATGGGTGGAGACAGAAAACCAATGATAAAGAAAAGTGTTTTCCTCTTGAGAGTCTTTGACAGTGTATTTTTCATCTTTCCTTCTTCTAGAGACCATGGCGAGCCCAGGGAAAGATAATTATCGAATGAAGAGCTATAAGAACAATGCCCTAAACCCTGAGGAAATGAGGCGAAGAAGAGAGGAGGAGGGCATTCAGCTGCGGAAGCAGAAGCGAGAGCAACAAGTAGGTTTAACAAAGTTTTCTTTAATGTACTCTTCAGAGAAATGATTCAGCCTCTATGGATGCCTTCTACCTTACAGTACACCTTTCTCTTGACTAGTTTGGTTACCTTGTGAGCCAATCATACAGATTCCTTTTTTGTTAAAAAATATTGAGTTGCCAGCACTGTGAAGTATCAGGTAAGGCCACCACCTGCAGTGCCAGCATCCCATGTGGGCGCCCGTTCAAGTCCCTGCTCTACTTCCAATCCAGCTCTGCTGTGGTCTGGGAAAGCAGTGGGAGATAGCCCAAATCTTTGGGGACTTGCACCCATGTGGGAGATCTGGAGGAAGCTCCTGACTCCTGCCTTTGCGTTAGTACAGCTCCAGCTGTTGCAACCATCTAGGGAGTGAACTCGTGGATAGAAGACCTCCCCCCCCCCCCCGCTGTAACTCCGCCTTTCAAATAAATACAGAAATCTTTTTTAAAAAAAAATTGAAAGCTTAAAAAAGGAAGGACTAATCCTTCCTTATCCCCTCTGTAATTTAGACCAACTAAGATGTCATTTATTTCTTGAATATAACAATCTAATTCAAACTGCTGGTACATTTTTTTATTCTTCACATTACAGTTAGTGTTAAGTCTGGCCTTCAAGGCCCAGCTCCAAATCTAGCCCTTTACGAGCCCATTCTGGGCTGCTTTGCTTCTACTTTATTGAGTCCTGTCCTTGTGAGTAGCATCCCTCAGTGCAGGTCATGCTAATGCCTCCCTAGCTGTACTTCCTTTCACCAAAGTGGTGCCCTGCTTACCTAGATTTAGTCACCTAACTTACTTTTGCCCACTCTCTTGGCCTACCAATATTCCTTTTCTTAAAAGCTTTTTAAACCCAGAATCTTTTATACAAAGGGCAAGAAATCTTTGAAGTTTCTATTTCTAATTACAAAAATAACTTTTTTTTTTTAAAGATTTATTTGTTTGTATTAAAGGCAGAGTTACAGAGAGAGAGAAGGAGAGACAGAGAAGTCTTCCATCCATTGGTTCATTCCCCAGATGGCTGCAATGACCAGGGCTGGGCTAGACTGAAGCCAGGAGCTAGAGCTTCATCTGGGTCTCCCACATGGGTTCAGAGATCCAAGAACTTGGCCATCTTCTGCTGCTTTCCCGCGAGCATTAACAGGGAGCTGAATTGAGGCCGGCTGCGGTTCACTAGGCTAATCCTCCACCTTGCGGCGCCGGCACACTGGATTCTAGCCCCAGTCAGTGCTCCGGATTCTGTCCCGGTTGCCCCTCTTCCAGGCCAGCTCTCTGCTGTGGCCCGGGAGTGCAGTGGAGGATGGCCCAGGTGCTAGGGCCCTGCACCCCATGGGAGACCAGGAAAAGCACCTGGCTCCTGGCTCCTGCCATCGGATCAGCGTGGTGCGCCGGCTGCAGCGCGCCAGCCGCGGCGGCCATTGGAGGGTGAACCAACGGCAAAGGAAGACCTTTCTCTCTGTCTTTCTCTCTCACTGTCCATTCTGCCTGTCAAAGGAAAAAACAACAACAACAACAACAACAACAAAACAGGGAGCTGGATTGGAAGTGGAATAACCAAGACTCGAACCAGGGCCCATATGGGATGCTGGTGCTACAGGCAGCAACTTAACCCGCTTTAAAAATGGCCTTTTAAAAAATGTGAGCAGTTAGATTTACTGTTGAAGTAAAACCCTTAAAAATCTTTCCATGTCATAATGTAAAGCTTATCATTTCCTTATCATTATGCCATAATTTAGCATTGGGTTGTTCTTGGTTTCTTGGTCTCAATGAATAGTCTTAATACTGTCTCTTCACTTTATTTACAGCTTTTTAAGCGGAGAAATGTGGAGCTGATTAATGAAGAAGCTGCCATGTTTGATAGTCTCCTCATGGACTCCTATGTGAGCTCTACCACTGGGGTAAGGCCCTCACGTGTGATTGAGGCAGGCCTGGGACATACCTGCTCCTGCAGAGCATAGATTGAGTACTTCACATCGCCTGGTAGCTTTGCCAGTAACTGGCGGATTCTTCTGTGAGCCCTTCTGTCATGGCAGGGAATCAATAAGGATTCTGAATCTGATTGAAGTACCTGAGAAAACCATTTAAGGGAACCCATCAGTTGCCTGAAAGATTAGGAATCCCTTTCCAACTTGAACAAATATTCAAACTTGATGCAGCCTGCTTCAGCTTTAAGCAAACTGCTTCTCCTGAGCCTCTCATGCCCTTCTGTTGAGCTCCAGTCTTAGAAAGCAGGATTATGTGTTAGCATCTGGCTCTAGTGTTGGATTGGGAAGGCCTAAACTTGTTTTATGTTCTAGGAGAGTGTAATCACAAGAGAGATGGTGGAAATGCTCTTTTCTGATGATTCTGACCTGCAGTTAGCAACCACACAGAAATTCCGGAAACTGCTCTCCAAAGGTACAAAGCCTGGTCCTTCTCATCGAGACCCTGTGTGATTTATAAAACCGCTTGTCTCTTTTCACTCACCTAATCAGCTGCTCTAGCTCTCACTCATTCAGCTTTAACCCTATTGGCCTTGGGTGATTGTCTCACCTTTATTCATGTGTTTATTTGAAAGGCAAACCGACTGACAAAGTTTTTCTTCTATCTTTGGGTTTGCTCCAACAGCTGCAAGAGCCAAGGCTGGGCCAGGCTGAAGCCAGAAGCCAGGAACTCCATCTGGGTCTCCCATGTGGGTGGAAGGGGCCCAGGCACTTGGACCTTCTTCTGTTGCCTTTTCAGCCACATTAGGAGGAACCTGGATTGGATGCAGAATGGCTGGGACTTGAACCAGTACACCAAAATGGGACAGTGGCATTGCAGGCAGCGCCTTGATTTGCTTTGCCACAACACTGGCCCCATGTTTTCACCTTTATACTGGATTTTCTCTCTTACTTCTTTGGCTCCCAAATATCTGTGCAGCATCTCCCTCAATTCTGTGATCAAATCCTACTTTTTTTTTTTTTTCAGATGTTGTATGGCTGTGAGAGGTTTATGTATTTATTTATTTGAGAGGCAGAGTGATAAACAAGGATAGACAGATCTTCCATCTACTGGTTCATTCCCCAAATTCCCAAAACAACTAAAGCTGGGCTAGACTGAAGCCTGGAGCCAGGAACTCTATGTGGGTCTCCTACATGGGTGGCAGGAACTCAACTGCTTGGGCCGTCATCTGCTACCTTGCAAGCTCATTAGCAGGAAGCTGGATTGGAAACTGAGGCAAGACTCAATGCCAAAACTTTAAAGTGGGATGAGGGCATCCCACATAGGAGCTTAACACACTCCATCACAACAGCCACCCCCTACCTATTCATCTTTGAACTGTATGATATAGTTGGACTACTTAAGGGTAAATCCAGTCCTAATTGAGTTATGTTTTCCTTTCCCTTACTGATAAACAAAGAATGGTAAGGGAGAGAGGATAGCCCAAGGGTTGAATGACACTGGTTTACATATTTCTCTTCTAAGGAAGATTAATTGTCGTTTCTTTGGAGGACTGTGTCATATAGTAGGCAAGAGGTGTTTTTCCCACCATACACCAAATTTTTATAGAACAACTGCCACATACCACAGTTCTAGCTCCTGAGGCTATAGTAAACCATACCAAAAGTCCTAGCCCTCATGAATGGAAAGTCTTTTTTTAATCTCTTTGTCTTTCATATAAATGAATCCTTAAAGAGAAACTGAGCAGGTATTGATAAACCACCTGAACAGAAGGGAGTTTGGGTATGTTTATAATGCTTGTTAGAAGTGTCTAGAAAGAAGCGTGAGCTGATACAAGTGAATAGATGTACCAAAGCCTCTCTTCAGTTTTTATCTCCTTCCATCTCCCTCTTGTAGAGCCTAGTCCTCCAATAGATGAAGTTATCAACACTCCAGGGGTAGTGGATCGGTTTGTGGAGTTTCTGAAGAGGAATGAAAATTGTACATTACAGGTGAGGCCCCAAGGGAAAGAGTTCCCAAATAAAGCCCTTTTCCAAGAAATTGGAATGGGGTATTTCTGCAGATATATCTCTCAGGAGATAGAAAAGTCAGATGAGGAAACATTTCAAGTAAGGCATCAGTTGCCTCAGAGATCTTGACATTATAAAGATATAAAGAAGAGAACAAAATCTCTTCCTTAAAACATTCTCAATAATAACTATGTAGAGTAATGCATTTGTTAATTGGCTAGATTTTTTAAAAATATTTTTATTTATTTTCTTGATAGGTAGAGTTACAGACAGAGGGAGAGACAAAAAGAAAGGTCTTCCATCTGCTGGTTCACTGCCCAAATGACCACAACGTCTGGAACTGGGCCAATCCAAAGCCAGGAGCTTTTTCCAGGTCTCCCAAGCAGGTGCAGAGGCCCAAACCATTAGGCCATCTGCTACTGCTTTCCTAGACCATAGCAGAGAGCTGGAGAACGGAAGAGGAGCAGCAGGGACTAGAACCAGTGCCCATATGGAATGCTGGTGCTGCAGGCAGATGCTTAGTCCACTACACCACAGTGCTGGCCCCGATTGGCTAGATTTAACAATTCCGCCGTCAGTATATATATTGAGTTATGTTTTCCTTTCCCTTACTGATAAAGAATGGTAAGGGAGAGAGGATAGCCCAAGGGGTGAATGACACCGGTTCCCTTCTAAGGAAGATTAATTGTCATTTCTTTGGAGGACTGTGTCATATAGTAGGCAAGAGGTATTTTTCCTACCATACACCAAATTCTTATATGGAAGGTTATCTGTCAGTTTTTATATATGGAAGGTTATCTGTCAATTTTTTTTTGAAAACTCAAAGGAAGATAAGAATATTGCAAACACACCATTCCATTACAAATCAGAGACTCTAATCTACTTCCAAGTCTTCTCATAGGTGGCTGTGACGCTCAGGAAATAAATAAATGACATGATGGGGATCCCGGGGATGCTGTTACAGTACAAAATTTGACCACGGAAGCACCATTCCACCTTCCCGTTGTCATATCACTGCCTCTTCTCACCATTTAAAAGAAGGGAGAGGAAAAGCTTATGTGTTTTGTTGTTTTGTTTTGTTTTTCATGGGCAAGAGGCTTACTGTTCTGAGCCAGCTAGTAAACATGGCTGCACACTGTGGAATGATCTCTCAATGGTGACTTAATCTACCTTTCAGTTTGAAGCTGCCTGGGCTCTGACAAACATTGCCTCTGGAACCTCCCAGCAAACCAAAATTGTCATTGAAGCAGGGGCCGTCCCCATTTTCATAGAGCTGCTTAACTCGGACTTTGAGGATGTACAAGAACAGGTAATACTGATTTGGCTTAGTTCTTCTTTTTAAGGATTTATTTATTTATTTGAGAGGCAGAGTTATAGACAGAACTGTCTTCCATCCACTGATTCACTCCCCAAGTGGCCACGGTGGCAGAGCTGGGCCAATCAGAAGCCAGGAGCCAGAAACTTCTTCCAGGACTCCTGCATGGGTGCAGGGTCCCAAACACTTGGGCCATCTTCCACTGGTTTCCCAGGCCATTAGCAGGGAGCTAGATAGGAAGTGAAACAGCTAGGACTTAACCTGCATTCATGAGATGCTGGTGCCACAGGCAGAGACTTAACCTACAGCGCCTTCCCCTTGGCTTGATTCTTGATGGTAGCTGCAGTATAATACCAACATTTGGTTTTAGTCCCAGTCTTGACACAGTGCTCTTAAAAACATTGGAATTTTCTGAGTTACAGGAATGTCTTTTGCTATTTATAGAGCCCTTTTAGAACACATCTGAGTCTGTATTAACAAAGTGACTCAGTTTGGGGAACCTCGGTAGCCTTTCAGTGGTTGGTCACCAGAAAAATACAAACATAGAATGTGGGAACTCCTGACTGCCTCCCAAGGAAGAGGAGGGATCTGGAGATTGGGTTATAAACTATTGAAGGTGAGAGCCTCTGGGTTAATGAGCGCATTGATGTACTGGGAAGGTGACAGATAACATGGAAGCTGTACACTACCCTCCTCACTTTATACCTTGTCTAATGTGTCTCTTTCATTTGGCTGTTCCACATACAAGTAGTGTTTTCTGAGTTCTCTGTAAGAATCCCCAAATTTCTTTCTAGTCAGTTAAAAGTTTAGGTAGTCTCTGGGACTTGTGATTGGTGTCTGAAGTGGAGGCACAGGTTACGTGGGAGTGATCTGTGGGTCCTTAATCTATGGGATCTGCTTCAACCTCGGGAGTGAGGGTCACATTTAAATTAAAGTATTGAACAAGCAGTCAGTGTCTGAGAATTGGTTGTTGGTATGGGAAAAACTACACACGTGCATTACGTGTCAGAAGTAGGGCGGGAAAGACACTGCACTACCATTTCCCAAAGATTATAGCAATAAAATACAACTTGCATTTCTCTCACTGGATTCTTGGTGATTGTATAGAAGTTGCGAGTCGAAATTACTACATTTACGAGTTGGTCCAAGGCAGCTTCAAGAGTGCAATTTACTGAACTCTGTCTGAGTGGATGGGAACGGGGAGCTCTTTGGCTTCTCAGTCTGTCATACAGCTGGCAGCCGCCTTCCTCACTGAACCAGGGACTCTGAGCATAGAGGTCCTTGAAGAGCAAATGCTCAGTAAGGACTTCAGCAGGGAGGTTACCTGAGCTTGGTTCGTGTGATTTGAGCCTTGACATGGCAGCCTGATGGGGACTCACTCTGTGGTTGTCTATAAAATACTTATGGAAGCCACAGGCGCTGAGGGATTGCTTCATCACTTCCTTTTCAGGCTGTCTGGGCACTGGGAAACATAGCTGGAGACAGCTCTGTTTGCCGGGATTACGTCTTGAACTGTTCCATCCTGAATCCTTTATTAACGTGAGTAATTACAGTCATTTTGTACCTGGGGCACCTGTAGGACGGCCATGTGGCAGGTCATTTGGGGATAGCTTACTTGATCCCTTAAGATGACAAATACAAAGTCTAAAAGTACTTTCCAATTGCTGAAGTAAAAACTAGGTATCTTTTTGAGTAAGAAAGATTGCATCTCAGATCTGTGCCAAGGGGAACCTTGTTCTTCATTTCAAGGCACTTTAGGTCCTCATGTTGGTCATATCAGCCTCCTTTTTGAGCCAAGGGAGAAAGGAAGACTAGTCTAGAAAGACCTAGCCTGTTCTGTAGAGTACATTCATTTCCTACGGGGTTTTGTGTAGGCATGTTGGATAGCTTTGTTACAAATCATAAGTTAAAGACCCTGTAAAGAATCATCTGGAGCCCTCCATCCCTTCCCCCAGCTACGTTTAACTAAAAATGTATGAACTGGTTTTTGTTTGTTTGTTTTTAGCTTTATTTATTTGAAAGGCAAAGTTATATAGAGAGAGGAGAGGCAGAGAAAGAAAGGTCTTCCATCCATTGGTTCACTCCCCAATTGGCTGCGACAGCCGGAGCTGTGCCAATTCGGAACCAGGAGCTTCTTCTGGGTCTCCCACATGGGTGCAGGGGCCCAAGGACTTGGGCCATCCTCCACTGCTTTCCCAAGCCACAGCAGAGAGCTGGATGGGAAGTGGAGTAGCCGGGTCTTGAACCAGCACCCATATGGGATGCTGGCGCTTCAGGCTAGGGTGTTAACCCCCTGCGCCACAGCGCCAGACCTGAACTGTTCTTGATAAGCTACAATCTTCTAGGCTACCTCTATCATTTCCTGAACCCTTCACAGAAAGGGTTAAAGACTAAATTCTGCAAAGCATAGCTAAAACTCTGCCACTGGACTTTCAGCTTTTGTTTCCAAAGAGAACACCTTTCCTTGTTTACAATTTTGGCCAGAGCTAGGGGGACAATATGTCCTACGTTAAAAGCTTTGCCACCTTACTCAGGTCTAGCTGTCTGTTTTGCCGCGTTGTCCATGATATTAACTACCACAGTTAGTCTGAATCCTCTCTGCAGATGTCAGTCTCCTGACCCAGACTTGCTCTGTTAGCTTGGGTCTACAGGTAGAAATGAATAAGCTGCTGGAGTCTCAGGGGCCTGATTGGATTTGCTCCTGGGGTTCGTTGGCAGTAGCCCTATTTGCCAGGGCATCAGGTTCAGGATCTGGCTTCTGTGTTTTCCTTCAGACTCCTTACCAAGTCCACACGACTGACAATGACACGGAATGCAGTCTGGGCTCTGTCAAACCTCTGCCGAGGGAAAAATCCACCCCCAGAGTTTGCAAAGGTGAGAGAACCTCCCAGGCCACAAGTTATAGCAGATTCCTTCATAGGGAGTTTTGAATTCTTCGGGGACACCCCTTAGACTAAATCTCAAATCTTGGGAAACTGAAAGAAGAAGCAGTTGTTGAAGCATACCTTGTATTCCTGAATGGTAAAGTAAACAGGTAGGCCTGAAGGCCTAATTGTGGTAAAAATGCACAGAGTGTAGAATTACTTGTTGGGGAGGGTTAGTGTCCTTCCCCCGTGAGTCCTTCTCTGCTTTCCACAGGTCTCCCCTTGTCTGCCTGTGCTGTCTCGCCTACTCTTCAGCAGTGACTCAGACTTACTGGCAGATGCCTGCTGGGCCCTCTCTTACCTGTCTGATGGCCCCAATGAGAAGATCCAGGCCGTCATAGACTCTGGAGTCTGCCGGAGATTGGTGGAGCTTCTGATGTGAGTAGACTCCATTAGAGGGCACAGAGTGTGTAGGCACCTCCGAGCTTGTGCTAAGGAGCTGCAGCAGCTCTTTGCTGTCCTGCCCAAAGGTTGGAGTCATGAGGGCACTTCAGCCCTGGTTGTCACTAGGACTGGATGTGGTGTGTGAACCACCCACTGATAAGATCTTCCTTCTCTGTAGGCACAATGATCACAAAGTGGCTTCACCTGCCTTGAGAGCTGTGGGTAACATTGTCACTGGGGATGACATCCAGACCCAGGTAAGGAGGAGGAGGGCGTAGGAGCTGCCTTCCGACAACACCCTTCCCTGCCAAGGGCTCTAGTCCTGATGGAAGGAAGCATGGTCCAAGAGAAAGCATGGGATTGAGTAAAACTATTTTAGCTCTGCCCCTGTCTGTGTGATCACAGGCAACTTGCTTCCTCCTTGTCTTCTATGAATTGGAAGAAAACTACACTTACTACCCGTGACTGTTAAGTGGTACAGAGTTCGTCATGTTCCCGCTGAGGAGTGAAAGCTGTGCAGCCCCACCCTTGCTTTCTACACCTTTAGGATTCCATTGGTATTACCTTATGTTGTTAAGCCCTCTTGTCAAAGTTCTGCTCAAAGGCTAGAGATCTGGGTATTCTTTTGAATCTTGAGCAGTCGACAGTTCTGTGGGAACTTGACCTGGTGAGCAGTCTTACTGAAGCCCACAGTCTCATTTTCTTGGTCATTTTTATGTGTGTGTGCTTGAACATCAAAGTGTATAGGTCATTGGCATTAAGTACATAAAAATAGTTATTCAGGGATGAACATTTGATACAGAGGTTAACACCCTGCATATCAAAGTACATGGGTTTGGATCCCAGGAAGATTATTATTTGAGCATCACTATCACCCAGCTACAGAACTTTTTTTTTTTAGGCAGAGAGAAGCACAGAGACAGGTAGTCAGAGAAATATTTGGGAGCTCACCCCCAGTCTCCCATTTGGGAGCTCACCCCAAGTCTCCCATTTGGGGACAGGACCCCATGATAAATCACTTGCCATTACCACTGCCCCCAGCGTTTATAGGAACAGGAAACGAGTCAGGAGCTAGAGTCGGGTGTCAAACCCTTGCACTCCAATATGAGATGCAGTGTCTTAACCACTAACACTGGCCCCACTGGCCCCCTTTAGAACTTTTTTTTTTTATCTTTTCAACACAATTTTATTTATCCTTAGTAGTCACTGAGTTGTTCCTCTTATCTATTGTGAATAATGCTACATTAGTTTACAAATATTTACTCAAGTCCCTGCTTTGACTTCTTGTGGGAATATACCCAAAAGTGGAATTACTGAGTAATATAGTAATTTAATGCTTAATTTTTTTGAGTGACCACCATATTGTATTGCACATCAGACACTTACAGTAATGTACCAGAATACAGTTTCTCCATATCCTCATAACTTTTGTAATTTTCTAGTTTTTGTTTTTTAAATTAGCTGTCCTATTTGATGTGAAGATACCCCACTAAGGTTTTGATTTGCATTTTCCTAATGACTAGTAATAGTGAGCATCTTCTTGTGTGCTTATTGACCATGTGTATAGCTCTTCTATATATCTTCTTTTGGGAAAATTTGTATTTAATTGCTTTGTTCTTTTTCTTTTTAATTACTTTATTTGAAAATTGGAAAAAGGAAAAGAGAGAGATTTTCATTCTCTAGTTCACTCCCTAAATAGCCACAATAGCCAGGACTGGGCCAGGTCAAAGCCAGGAGCCAGGAAATCAATCCAGGTTTCCTATGTGGGTGGTGGGGACCCAAATATTTGAACCATCACCACTGTCTCCCACGGTGTGGGTGTGCTGGATTGGGAGTATAGCTGGGACTCAAACTCAGGTAGCCCGATAATGGATGTTGGTGTCCTAAGTAGTGTCTTAAGTACTGTACCAAATGCCCTCCCCACTTGCTCATTTTTCAGTTGAGTTCTTTGGGGGAGGATTTTTTTTCTTCTTTTGTTGTAGGAATTCTTTAGAGAGAGATGTTATATTTCCCAAATGGATGTAAGAGCCAGGTATCTTGATACACTTGTTTTCGGTTTTGACTTAGTCCAATTTATCTAACTTTTTGTTTCCTGTGCTTTTGGTGTTCTAGGTCATTCTCAACTGTTCAGCCCTTCCTTGCCTCCTCCACCTACTGAGCAGCCCCAAGGAGTCAATCCGGAAGGAAGCTTGCTGGACCATTTCAAATATTACTGCTGGCAATAGGGCTCAAATACAGGTAGAATAGGCAGAGAAGTTGAGGGATATGGGCAAGCATGGAAACATGGGAGGTTGTGAGACATTTTCCAGAAAGAATATGTTTCTCCTTAAAAATTGGGGTTAGTGTGTGCTACTAGTGTGTTCTGAGATTCTCTGTAGCCAAAGTTGGGTTTCTCTATAGCCTGTTACTTGTGGGAACAATCAAGGAGAGCCCCAAGTAGAGGGAAGGATACGTGAGTCTCAGCTGATTTTGTGGCTGAATTAGCTTTCTCCTGAAGTAACTTTCTTCCTCCATCTCCTGCCCCCAATCTCTCTCAGGCTGTCATAGATGCAAATATCTTCCCTGTGTTGATTGAAATCCTTCAGAAAGCAGAGTTCCGAACAAGAAAAGAGGCTGCCTGGGCCATCACCAATGCCACATCAGGAGGAACCCCTGAGCAGATCAGGTATCACATTCTTTTTTTTTAATTTTATCTTTAAAGATATATTTATTTATTTGAAAGAGAGAGATTCCCATCTGCTGGATCAATCCCCAAATAGTGGTAATAACCAGGGCTGGGCCAGACCAAAGCCAGGAACTAAGAGCTTCATTTGGGTTTCCCACGTGGTTGTAGAGGTCCAGCTACTTGGGCCATCTTCCGCTGCTCTCCTGGGTGAACTAACAGAGAGCTGGATCAGACATGGAACAGCCAGGACTCCAACCGGCGCCCATAATGGGATGTTGCTGCTGCAGGTGGCTGTTTAACCCACTGTATCACAGCATCGGCCCCTACGACATTCCTTTCCCATTGTCTTGAATGAGATATGCCGTCTTTTGCTCCTAGTTTAAATATGACTTCCAAACTGCTTTTGCTGGGATAAGTCTACCTCTTAGTAATGGTTAAGCTGTATAGCAACACTGGATTCTGGAATAGATTCCTTTAGTCTATGATTTGTTGTACCTTATTTCCTTCCTGGAGCACAGAAATCTATGATGCAAGGGTCCATCTCCCTATCCTCTAGAGAACTGAAATCGTTGTGATTCTCAATTAGCCTTACAAAGGAAGGGGAACTTTGCTGTGTCTCAAAGCAGTTTCTTTGGGAAATCACTTTTGTGAATGACACCTGAGAGAAGTAAATAGCAAGCTGTTTTATGTGTGTGAACTTTTAGTTTCCATTCTCTGAGCCTTAGTAGGAGCAGTAGATAGTTAGATAAGTGTCTCTTCTGCCTGTAGCCTGCTAACAGTAGTATATAAAACCTTATATACAAAGGATTAAATGAGTAAAGCATTGAAGGATAAGTAGAGGACTGCAAAAGGCCTTTTAGATGAGACTAACAGAAGTAAAGGTACAAGAATGAGAAACCTGGAGACCTTTACAGGTTTGCCTAGAATAAGTGTTCTTAGAAGGGAACAGTGGGAAGCAGAGCCAGAAAAAGAGGTAAAAGCCACATTGTAGAAAGTCTGTTGTACCACAGGACTTGGACTTCAGGGAAATGGGAAGCCCGTGAAAACTTTTAAACAGGGAAATGCTGTGTTCAGAGTGGTAATGTTACAGCTGTGGTGACCTTAGCAACAAGGAAGAAGAATCTGGTAGTTTCCACATGTGAGATAAACTGGACCAGCAGAGAAGATGGAGAGATTGGGATAGGCAGTGGAGAGATTGGGATAGGCAGTGCATAGTTGTTTATCAAGTCTCAGTGAGAATTGATTGCTGGAAGTGTTGACATGTATAAGGGGACCCATAGGCCAAGGCACTTACCCTATATTAAATTATAACTTATGTGGTTTCTGGCCCCTAGATATCTGGTCTCATTGGGCTGCATCAAACCTCTGTGTGACTTGCTGACTGTGATGGATTCAAAGATTGTGCAAGTGGCCCTCAATGGACTGGAGAACATCCTACGGCTTGGAGAGCAGGAGGGCAAACGCAGCGGCTCAGGGGTCAATCCCTACTGTGGTCTCATTGAGGAAGCCTATGGTATGTGCCCTTTCTTCAGCCTCACCTATGCCTTGCGTATTTCAAGCCTTGGGACTTCAGGCCTCCGGAACAGTATGTGAGGTGGTGTGTGTGCAAGGAATGTGGGAAGCATCTCTAGTTTCCGTGAGACTTTTGTCTGTGTCTCTAAAATTAGTGAAGAACCCATCTCTAGCCAAATTCTACCATCCACAGGGTTTCGAGTGTTCCATGGGAATAGCTGGCCTGTAAGTAGCAAGGGTAGAGCTGAGATTTGGATTTGGGGTTGTCTTTTGAATCCAGGGTTTCATCCCACCCATTCCTTTTCCCTCTGAGGAACAATCAGTTCCCTTTCAGTTATGTTCTACCTGGTAAGTAGCTGTAGTACAGATACAAAGAATAAAACCCAGAACTGATCAGGATCAGGAGGGATGGGAGGAATGAGTTCCTATAAGAGTGCTAGACTGACTGACTCATCACTCATTTCATGAGAAGCTTACAATTTGCTGGCTCATGTAGCTTGTTTAAAGCAGAATCAGGACTAGAATTTCTCATTTGTAATTGACATTTTGATCTCTTTGGGGGTTCTGTAGCTTGGGTAAGAGATGTTGGCTGTCCTTTTTCAGGTCAAAAAGAGTGATCTGGTTATGTTACTTGTGTTTGTAAATACTAACATACCTCAAGGAAGGAAAAACAGGAAATGCCTCAGGGACCTGTAGGAAAGCACTCACACTGCACTCTCTCCCCTTTTTGTCACCATAGGCTTGGATAAAATTGAGTTTCTCCAGAGCCATGAGAACCAAGAGATCTACCAGAAGGCCTTCGACCTCATTGAGCACTATTTCGGCGTAGAAGACGATGATAGCAGCCTGGCTCCCCAAGTGGATGAAACGCAACAGCAGTTCATCTTCCAGCAGCCTGAGGCCCCCATGGAGGGCTTCCAGCTATAATGTCTGCCTCCGGGGAGGGGAAGGGCTGGGGAGCATCACCAATCAGCAGAAGAGCAGCCCTCTGGTGGGCAGGGAGCCAGCCCCCCACCTTCAGCCACCACACACCTCTGCTGTCCTGGAGACTGTGCTCTCGACCTGCTCCGCCCCTTCCCTGGAGGGAACACCCTCTGGACACACAGAACCATCTGAGGCTCACATTTGGGTTTTGTGACAAGAAGGGGACGTGTTGGGTTTTCTTCCTTACACTATATTTTGGCTGCACACATGTCTTTAACCCAGGAGCCCAGGGGTAGACAAAGGAGGACTGAGGTAATCAATTTGCACCTTTTTTTATTTTTGTTTTTTCTTTTTTTCTTTAATGGTGACTTCCTTCCCTTTTATCTTCCTTCATCCTTCCCAGTCGTCTGCCCTGATTGTGTAACTCTTATCTTGGGTACTTGAGCAGATGGAATATTCCAGAGGTGGGAGGTGGGAGGGCGGGGGAGGGGAGAAATCCAAACAAAGTGTTCTTGCTCAGACGGAATATTAATCTTGTATGCTTGGATTGAGTTATTTAATTTTTTTCTTTTGCACATTTTTTCTTGTATTAAGATTGCTCTTCCCAAGAGCCATGAGTTCCTCATTTTAGGAATCCCAGCTGCCAGCAATTTCTGGGACTAGAGGTTGATGGGGAGGCCACCATGAGACAGAGGCCTCCCCCTCCCTCTGACCCTTTGCCCAGACCTCTTTAGTTTGGGAGATCCCCCTCGCTCTCCTGGGGTCCCTGTCCCCATGGAGGGAGTGGAGGAGCACAGGCCTTTAGTCGGGGCTTCCCCATGTGTAGCTACTGATCCCATGTTTCCTATCCACCTTCCAAATGGTGCGACCCAACTTCATATGTTTACTTGAAAATTCCCCTCGGAGGAGAATGAACCTCCGAGGTGGCTGTATTTTCTCCTGAGCTCAAGACAGGGGGCTGCAGTCCCTCCTTCTCCTGAGGAGAAGGGCCTGCTCTGGTGACCTACAAGTTGCAGAGAGGAGGTTGGAGTGAGAGTGTCATGTATTGGGATAGTCAGGGATCCCTGCCTTTGGCCTTCCTTCTTCCTCTTCCATAGTTGGATCATGTATATTTTACTTCCAAAGGAGAGAATGTCAAAAAGTTCTGTATTTTTTTATATTCTATATATTAGGTAGGTCAATCTTAATTGGTCTCAAAAGGAAGAGCTGTCTATAATTTCTGTAATTAGGACACTGTGAGGAAGACCAACAAGGGATGTGGAAGCTCCCTCACTCAGGAGGCCTGAGCTTGGTCTTTTTCCTCTCTGCCTGGATTCTGGGCTGCCACCTGGGACCAACCCTCAGCTCTGGAACTTTATAAAGCAAGTCAGCTGGGTCTGATTGTACCTGTAGGGAGCGAGGTGGCCTCAGGGCCTCATGAAGTCTATCACTCTAGTCCCCATCCTGCCAGAGAGCCGTCTGCTTTCCCAAATCCAATCTCAAAGGCTGTTGTCCACATACATTATCCTGCATGGCTGCCTCTCCTATTATCACAGAAACCCAGCAGCCAGAATAACTTTGAGAGCTTTTGGTATTTTTCCTGTATGGGATCCTTGCATCTGGTTTGGGTTTTCCCTTCCTCATGATAATTAGAATCTAAATGCCTTTCTTTTTGAGTAAAGGTAGTGGAGTGATATTACAGCCAAGCTGTTGGGGTGTGGGGTAGAGGAAGTTGTGAGCTAAGTGTAGACCTGTTAGGGGCTAAAGGCATAGTCTGTGCCACCTCCCCGGTGTGATCAGTCAGGGGTGTCCTGTCCCAGGCTGTACTTTTCTTTCCCCCAGAAACAGTGTCATTCTTGCTCCCGCTCCTGTGCACTCCCTTGAGCTCAGGTGAAACCCATCCCCCTATGCTTAGATAAGATCTCAAGTTTCAAGGGCTTTGGTCTTGAATTTGCCCTCTCTTCCTAGTGTTGAGGTTTCAGTCCAAGCCATTTTCTGGGTAAAGGTGGTTTGGGGCGGGCAATTGCCAGTGAAAAATCCCACCAAATCGTGCTGCCTTGGTGAATCAGGTGCCATTCATTAGTGGGGGGGACTGCCAACCCCCAATCTTCCAGGAAACCAAGGGGCAGGAGCTTTCGCACTTGACCTACTGATCCACTACAGAATTATTCTACAGTTCAAATAAAAGCACCCCTGTCCCCACATCATCCTTGCCCAAAAGGAAGAGCAACTTGGAAGTGTCTACCTTGTACATTTCAGGCAACAGTTAAGTTCCTGACATTTAATTCTTAGTGTGAAACATACATCCTGTCTTACCAACTGCTCCTCCAAGATACACTTTGACTTCAGATCTGGGTCCTGTACCTGGAAGACTGTTAGTCACCTGGCTGCTGCTTAAAGCACGTTTTCTCTAAGGGCTTCAAAGGATAAATGCTACTGATGGCACAGTGTGGGGACATATTTCTCATTGGAGAAGGGCGGCCTTTAGGAGCTTCTCTTTGGGTCTTCTCTAGAGCATGTTTCCCTGTTATCTTCCTCAAACCGCTTTCGGTCCACAGATGAAGTTCCTGCAGCCCACAGTGAGTTCATCTTTTGTGTCTCCTCCTCTCCTTTGGCCATCTTAAGAAGAGCCAATCTTCATGAGCAGCTCCCTTCTGGAACCAGGTCCTGGGTTGAAAGCTTTGTGATGGGTTTCTGAGTGCTTACTGCCAGGACAGGGGCTTGCTGACCTGCTGCAGGGAATAGCCCAGGTCAAGGCATGTTTTGAGAATCCTCATTTCTTGGCCTGTGGCCCATTTATTCACTTAAGATTTCTGAAGGGGTAGCAGTATCTAGGCATTGCTGAAGAGGATAGCAGGCCTTTTTCTTAGCTAACATTTTCTAGTACTCTTGAACAGTGCCAGCTATTTATTGCCAGCCCCTATAGGCATCTTCTTGAGTCCCAACAGGGTTTCTGGTCCCAGAGACATACCTTCGTTTCCCAGCTATTCCCACTGAGTGACTGCCTGGCTTTGATGTTAGCTGCAGTCTTTTGGTAAAACCACATGGATTTCACCCTCAGGTGGCCAGCTGGTTACTTGGGTCAGTGGGCACAAATGACCGTTCCAAGGAGATATGTTGATGACCTCAGCTTTCTGGGACCTTTGGGATATTCCCCCTTACCTAGAATCCTTAGCTCTACCACACTGACTCTCTTTGCCCTGGAACCTGCTTTCCAGAATCCCTACACAGATTCTAACTGCTGTTGCATCTATTTGAGGGAAGGAAGAAGACTGTATTCCTCTCAAGCCAAACCAGTTAAAATGAAAACCATCTAGTGGGTTCAGCTCTATTTCTATTTTCTCATGTCTACCTGCTGTTTGTAGCAAAGCTTTTTCTAGCAAGCTAGTAGAGAAGAGGAAAGCCTCGCAATACTAACCTCCTCACCCCACGGGCCCCTCTCTGAAGGCCGCAGCTCTTGTTCAGGCTTCATCTCTTCTCCCCTAGACTCGGTGCAGCTTGGTATCCATCATCTTGGTTATTTCTCAGTGGATTCATCTTGTAGACTGATTCTGGGTTCTCAGTTGAAGGCAGGGATCAGTTTCTGTGGGTCCCTGCAGACATCCCTGGACCAGGAAGAAGGTTAGACTAGCTGGGATCCTCAGAAGTATGTGTATCTGTTTCCTGGCAGGTGGGGAAGGGCACAAGACTCAAACCACAGGAGGTGCTCATGACCAGCGACCACATTTTTCGGCAGTACTACCTGGCAGTGAGTGTGAGACACAGGTTGCTCAGAGTAGGTTTCTTCCTCAGCCATTTAGGTTTGTACTTTCTCGACCAACCTTGTCCAGCATTTTTTTCTGTGTTTTTAGGTTCCGTTTGTTAAGCCAGCAGGCTGAGAATTTGGCCCTGTAGTCATCCACGTGGTGGGTACTAGCTGTTCCTTAGCCAGGGCTTTGATGAGTGATTGAATTATCCCATTGTCCATCCTCTAGACCCACTCCCAAATAAAGACCATGGCAAGGGAAGAATTTGAGGTCAAAACCAACCTAATCTGTGAATTGAAGCTGTTTCTTTTCCTCTGAGAGGCCGTTAAACTTCGGTCTTGGGCTATGTGCAGGAGCAAAACTGGCTATGAGTTAGGAGAGGCAGTGTTAAATTTTGGGTCCAGAGCAACCTAAGGGAAAAAGGGTTGTGTACTGTGTCTTCAGCGGGTTAGGGCGTACCCAGCTGCTTCTGGCCTGCCTGATCCAGGGTCTCCACATTAGCTCATATCCGAACCCCTCTGCCAAATGCTAATCTGCTCTCCTAGTCGGTCCAGTTTGAGTCCTTGGGTTTCATAGGAGAGAACTATATGTCATGCCCTGGGAGCCAGGAAAGAAGTCAGAGCTCAGAATCCTCAGACTGGCTGGGGCCTGTTGCCTTCAGAGGACATCTTCCAGGAGTCCGCACCTATACCGAACCTTAGGCCATGGATTTGTGTACTGGCTTTTTTTAGCCAGCTTTTGTGAGAACTCCTTTAAGCTTTTAAGGGAAGGGGTGTGAGGTCCCAACTACCTAACAGACTGGATATTTCCCAAGAACAGCTTGGGTTTCCTGCTAAGGACCCTAGGAAGATAAATCCTTTTCTTTCTTTCTGAATTCATTTGCTTTTATTTTTCTAAGAACTATAAACTGGCTATTTTCCATGTTCTCAGGGCCCCTGGGTAGAGAGACAAAGCTTGATGATTTCAGAGCAGACATAGGCCAAGAAACCGTGGCATTGAGTGTGCTGAGTCCAGACAAATGATATTTATATACACATCCAAATTTGAAGAGAAAATGTATTTCTTTAGGTTTCAAACACTGTAATAGATGTAAAGCAAAAATAAAAACCTGTTGCAAAGTTCTGAATAGTCGTCTTTGGTTGGGGGCTGACAGACTTCAGTTTTTGGAAATGTATGAGAGGATATCGAAACTTGTAGCTTAACAATAGAAATAAGAACTAGATCAGTTCTTGCCATAAATGTTTTGTAAAATTGACTTTATTGAAATGTAGTTGACATACAGTGAATTGTGCATATTTTAAGTGTACAATTTTATAACGAGATATAATATGCACCCACAAAACCACCAAAATAAAGGTAGGAAACATAAATAAATCCATTGCCTCCACATGCGCCTTGGGGAGCCCTCTTTCCTGTCCCACCCCAGCAACCACTGATAAAGATTTTTTTGTTGTTATTATTTATTTGAAGGGCAGAGAGACAGATGTCCCATGGCTGACTCACTGCCTAAATGCCCACAACAGCCAGGGCTGGGCCAGGCCAGAGCCAGAGCCAGAAACTCAATCCAGGTCTCCCCATGGTGGCAGGAATCCAGCCACTTGAGCCATCACCTGCTGTCCCTGGGGAGCTGGAATTGGAACTGAAGTCCTTTGATTAAGCAATGTGCACATACCAAGTGGTGCCTTGATAATTATGCCAAATGGCTGCTCCAGGTGTGCCTAAAAGGTTTTGACCACTCCAGATTCAGCACCTCTTCACAATCCATTGAGTCTGCTGAGGTTAAATAGTTCACAGATAACACTTTCAGTTTAGGTCAATTCCTAAAGCAAAACTTAGGAATTTTTTGGAAAAGCAATCAAAAATTGAACCCACAAGGAAGGTTTTGGTTGGCAGTATAAAGTTTTAATTGGTTGCCAATATTTTTTTAAAAAAATGCACTTTTAAAATAACTACCTGGAACCATGAGGCCTGAGTTTCTGCTTGGCAATGGTCTGCAAGAGCTGCTCTCTAGTACACGCACCATCACTGCCAGTTACCCCCAAGTCTAGTAGGTGATTATAGCAAAGCAAAAGGTAACTTTTTTTAAAAGATTGATTTATTTGGAGCCGGCGCTGTGGTGCAGTGGGTTAATGCCCTGGCCTGAAGCTCCAGCATCCCATGTGGGCACCAGTTCGAGTCCTGGCTGCTCCACAATCTGATCCAGCTCTCTGCTGTGGCCTGGGAAAGCAATAGAGGATGGCCCAAGTCCTTGGGCTCCTTCACCCCTGTGGGAGACCCGGAGGAAGCTCCTGGCTCCTGGCTTTGGATCAGCACAGCTCCGGCCATTGTGGCCAATTGAGGAGTGAACAGAGAGAAAGGGAGGGAGTGAGGGAGGGAATGAGAGGCAGAGTTACAGATGAGAGAGGTCTTCATCTGCTGGTTCACTCCCCAAATGGTCACTACAGCTGGAGCTGGACCAATTCAAAGTCAGGAACCAGGAGGAGCTCCATCCAGGTCTCCTACATGGGTGCAGGGGCCCAGGCACTTGGGCCATCCACTGCTTTCCCAGGCTACTAGCAGAGGATTGGAAGAGGAGCAGTCCTGACAGACACACATGTGGGATGCTGGCAACGCAGGCAGAGGCTTAACCTTCTACACCACACCACTGACCCCAGCAAAAGGTAACTTAAATCCATATTTCTATCAAATGTTCTGATTCTTTGGCCTACTCATAATACCCAGCTGGCCCTTGTAAACTAGCATTGACCCTTCCTGCTGCAAGCTCCACCCCCATGCATACCTTTGCTTGGTTATTAAGTTCTTTATCTGCCTGGAACACTTCCTATGGAAATCCATCAAGGCTTGATTTATATGTTGCCTCAGGAAATTTCAAGGTTTTTTATTTATTTATTTATTTATTTATTTGAGAGTTAGAGAGGCAGAGGCAGAGAGAGAAGTCTTCCATCCGCTGGTTCACTCCCCAAATGGTCTCAACAGCCAGAGCTGGAGCTGATCTGGAGCCAGGAGTTTCTTCCGGGTCTCCCATGTGGGTGCAGGGGACCAAGGACTTGGGCCATCTTCTGCTTTCCCAGGCCATGGCAGAGAACTGGATCAGAAGTGGAGCGGTTGGGACTCATATCGGCGCCCATATGGGAAGCCAACACTGCAGGCAGTGACTTTATCCGCTGTGCCATAGCACTGGCCCCAATTTAAGATTTGGAAAGCAGAAATTTTCTGTATGCTGTGTCATTCCCCAAATGGCTACAATAGCTTAGGTGGGACCAGGTTGAAGTCATAAACCAAAAGCTCCATACAGGTCTCCCACATGGGTGGAAGGAGACCAAGCATTTAGGCCATCTTCAGTTGCTTTCCCAGGCGGATTACCAGGAAGCTGGATCAGAAGTGGAACAGTGAAGACTTCAACTGGCACTGCAATATATTTGATGCTGGCATCACAAGTGGCAGCTTCACCTGCTACACCAACCTGCTTTTCTATAGATAAAGCCTTGGGTTTCAAGAGACCTGGCTCCCAAACCTTTCTGAGCCTCAGGTTGTTGTTTAGATTTATTTCACAGGCAGAATTATACAGGAGAGATCAACGTCCCCCATCTGCAGGATGACTCCCCAAATGGCCACAACAGCTGGGGCACCCAGGTTTCCTATGTGTGTGATGTGGGTAAGGGAAGCATTAATTTTTTTATTCCATTAATCTTTTTTAAAGATTTATTTATTTGAAAGGCAGAGTTACACAGAGAGAGGAGAGGCGGGGGAGGGGGGTCTTCCATCCACTGGTTCACTCCCCAATTGGCCGCAACAGCTGGAGCTGCGCCCATCAGGAGCCAGGAGCTTCTTCCTGGTCTCCCACATGGGTGCAGGGGCCCAAGGACTTGAGCCATCTTCTGCTTTCCCAGGCCACAGCAGAGAGCTGGATCAGAAGTGGAGCAGCCGGGACTTAAACCGGCGCCCGTATGGGATGCCAGCGCTTCAGGTCAGGGCGTTAACCCGCTGCGCCACAGCACCTGCCTCCATTAATTTTCTTACTCATGCACAGATACACATTCCAAGTGCTGGCACAAATAAAGTGTACAAAGTGGTAACATTTATTTAAAAGGTGAGAAAGTGAACAGAGATGAGCATGGGTTGCGCCAGAGACACACCATCAGATTTACCTGACAGGAAAAGGGGTGGGGGAGGGGAGAGAGGGCACCTGGCAGTCCCTACAGCTGTGGTCTGTCGTGGAAGAGCCCCTCTCCCAGTTGTTGGTCTCCTTTGTGAGTTCCAGGTGATGCCTCTCCAGGCATGAAGCTACCTAGGAATTTCATGGCGCCCCCACAAATTCCACATGGAGCTCAATATCCGTATTTTCATGGTGTCTTTTTTTTTTTTTTTTTTTTTTACAGGCAGAGTGGACAATGAGAGAGAGAGACAGAGAGAAAGGTCTTCCTTTGCCGTTGGTTCACCCTCCAATGGCCCCCGCGGCCAGCGCGCTGTGGCCAGTGCACCGCGCTGTTCTGATGGCAGGAGCCAGGTGCTTTTCCTGGTCTCCCATGGGGTGCAGGGCCCAAGCACTTGGGCCATCCTCCACTGCACTCCCGGGCCACAGCAGAGAGCTGGCCTGGAAGAGGGGCAACCGGGACAGAATCCGGTGCCCCGACCGGGACTAGAACCCGGTGTGCCGGCGCCGCAAGGCGGAGGATTAGCCTAGTGAGCCTCGGCGCCGGCCCATGGTGTCTTCTTAGGTCCCGGATGAAACAGATGCATCCCAGGCAAGAGGGCATTTGACTGACAGGATAGGATTAACATGAGGGCTTCTGACTTCCAGCTCAGTCCTAAACTAACTTCTTATTTACCCCACATCAGGTGCAGAGGCCCAGCACTCAGGCCACGCTCCACTGTCTGAGCCTCATTCTGTCATGCTATCAGGCGACAGTGCCTTCAGTGTTGCCTGGTAAATCTACAAGTTACTACATCCTGTAGCCCCAGCCCGATGGTGGGCTTGGGGACTCGAGCATTTATCCAACGGTCATCGCAAAGCTCACTGACTTGGCAGCAAACAGTAAGTTCAGGACTCGGGACTAATCTGGTTAACACTAGGGAGCTGCAACAGTGGCAGAGCACTGGGAGGGTTTTGATGTGCTCTTTGAGATGGCTCTCAAGTTTGTTGTTTATTTTTGCCATAAGTGCACTTTGGAAGAAAAATAGCAAGCATCTGCAAAAACCTGAGAAACCCTGTGAATCATAAAAGTAGAGTTGGAGCAAAAAACCCAAGATTGGATGGAAGAGGCAAAAGCCAAACCACGTAGGCTCTTCAGATTCCAGGTGCAAAGAGTACTGGGTTTTATTCCAACGTCTATAAGCAGCGGTGATAAAGAATTGTGACCTCGGGGCTGGTGCCTGCAGTGCCGCCATCCCACATGGGCGCCAGTTCAAGACCTCCTAGCTGCTCCATTTCCAATCCAGCTCTCTGCTATGGCCTGGGGAGGCACTGGAGGATGGCCCAAGTCCTTGGCCTCCGCACCCAGTGGGAGACCTGGAAGAAGCTCCTAGCACCTGGCTCCTGGCTTCGGATCGGCGCAGCTCTGGCGGTTGCGGCCAATTGGGGAGTGACCCAGCGGATGGAAGACCTCTCTCTCTCTCTGCCTCTCCTCTCTGTGTAACTCTGCCTTTCAAATAAATAAATAAATCTTTTTAAAAAATTGTGATCCCACCTTTGGAGAAAAATCTGGCCTTTTCAGTTTTAGCCCTAGTACCACAAGGACTTTGTACAAAATGGGACGAAGAAGTTTCAGGAATGGGCCTGAGGTCAAACACCCCTGCAGGGACCCCTCTGCCCCTTCCTGCGGGACTGCCGAGCTTATTGGGGGGGGGGGGTAACTACCTTTCACAAGTTACCCGGGCTCTTGGAGAACGCCTGCAATGGTGATTATTTCTTCTGAGTAAAAGGCAGGGTAGCGGAGTAGTCAGGTTCTGAACCACTGCTCGAACCCAGCATCTGTGACCGTGGGCGAGCTGTCTAACGCGAGCCTTACAGCCCTCTTCCGTTAAATGGGAATGACAAATAGTACTTATCTCCAGCAGCTAGGAGGCCAGGGCTTTTAAGAGACCAGGGAAGCACACGGGGTGTGCTCAGAGAACCGCTACG